TTCATCCTGAGCTCCTCTCTGTTGTGGTTACACTGCTGCTAGTACCCAGACCCAGGGCCAGCTTCGAGCAGGCATTCTGACAGGCACAGAAACAACCATTCCTCCATACAAGGACCAGTCGAAGCATGAATCAACCCCTGTTTTGTGCCAGGTCTGTAAGGGGACCAGTCACAGCTTCATACCATCAGTCCTCTTCTTGAGCCAACACCACTGGCTTTGTCTTGAAGGGGGATACAAGCTAGCTCTGCCCYGGTTTGGGTGGAAAGAAACATGTGGAGGCTGGTTAAGGAGTGGGAGCCAGGACAGAAGTCACCCTGGTGAGCAGTAAGAGCTACAGCTGCCCTGCACTTACACCACAGAGGAGCCCTGGAGCAGCCTAGTCTCAGCAGGAGTAACTGCTGAGCCCAAATTCACAGCCAGGACCTTCAAACATTGGGGAGAATTTTGCAATATGCGTCTTTGGCAGTGAACTGAGGGTTCCAGAGATCCCAGTTCCATCCACCTCTTAAACATTTGAAACAGGAATTTCTGAAGTCATTCTTCAGCCTACATTTCTTTTGTACCATCATGCTGAGTAAATATAGGGGCATAACCACATGAATTTTACAGCTGTAGGACATCACTGTTAACAGGGAAAAAAACTTTCAAACCTTCTGCTTCAAAGCCACAAACCCTTGGTCCCCATCTTTCAAACAGAGTTTGTAATTGTCTTTGTAACACACTGACTCACACGCTCTCTGCAGCCATTTACAGCGTCACTGCCAAACTTAATAACAGAGATCTGACAAGACTATACCACATTGCAATTTATGCTTTAACTCTARGCAGCAGTATTTTCTCTAGTTAAGTGGAAATTTTTAGAAAAACTGCAAGGCTGAAGCATTTAACTGCATAAAGTAAATTGGTTAACTGAAATAGAAACTCATTAACTGATTAACCAAGAACTATAGATGGAGTTATGTCAMCACATCACAAGGAACATTGAAGTCAAGGATTGCAATAAAGTAGATTTGCAATTCTGAATGCATGCGATTAACAGATTCAAACAAATTATGCTATTACTATGTTAATTATTGTTTGCCCTAAAATAGTGAAGATTATTAAATTCAAGTTTTTTAGCAGAAAAATACATCCCAGGACAACTACAAAAGAGAAAAAGAGCAAT